ACATATACATATACATATACATATACATATATATATCTATCTATCTATATATATATATATGATATATATGATATATATACATATATATATACATATATATATATATATATATACGTCCGAATATGCTCTCGCTATAATTTTCTGAGTTAATAGATGCACATCTTCTGCTTCTGAAAATTGACATCTGGATACTGCTGTCCTTATTTGACATGCGTGAGTACTTGGTTAAAAGTATTGATATATGAATACGCACCTATACATCATACGTCATAATAAATATACTATCTCGATACTGTTGGTCGTTCGCGCGTGGCTTGGGCTTCACCACTGTGAGCGTCCTAAAGTGCCATAATCTTTCAAACTTTTTTTTGATCCGATTTCAGCTGCGCTGTAGGGAATAACATAATATTGTTCCGTACCTCACATGTGGATTTTTGCAAGCGTGATCTGCTCCGGCGAATATTAGGCATACAATTAAATTAATTTAAAGCGTGCGTTTGGGGATGTGTTGATCACACACAGTACTGCAATCCATATATACATATATATAGATACCTATATATGTATTTATATAATCAGTCTTAAAGCGTGCACCTTCCAAGCTGACTGTATAATCCAAGGGCCAGGTAAAGCTCCCCTAATCCCACAATTGCAAGTATGTTGAGTAGCTTACTTATCATCACGCTCATACTGCTGACGGTACCGTGCCAGGCCGGGTACACACCCGCATACAACTACAAGGACGACCCAGAAGTAGACTCCGTCACCAGCATAGTCCTCAACTGCGATGACGGGGCAACTACTGACGACGAGTGGACCTGGGATGACCTCCAAAACGATGTCAACATAAAGGATAACGTGCAGGTACGCATCACGTGCGATCTGGACATCGAGGGGCAGACCATACGGAATGTGCTGGTGCAGCAACGAGGCCAGGGCAGCCGCAGATTCGCACTTAAAAGCTACACTATTAAATTCGGTGATGAGAATACCAAGTGGCGAGGGTTGGATAGGCTCTTGCTTAAGAAGGACCCGGCCGAGCACTCGGGTATCCGGGGTAAGCTCGCCTTCGATCTGTTCCGGGATGTACCGAACTTTGCGTCGTTCCGAACCAGTTGGCACTCGCTGACTGTGGTGCTGCACAAACCCGATGGCTCAGAGGAGGTGCTCGATATAGGACTGTACACCAACTATGAGAAGGGTGATGCGGCCTGGATTGAGCGTCGCAAACTGCAAGGTGCTGGTTATGAGGGTACAGATGCGTGGCTGTACAAGGTCAATCAGTGGGACTTCCGGCGGCGCTCAGCCATACGCACAGAAGAGGATCCACGCTACGACAGACAAGCCATGGAGCGGTACATTGAGGCCGAAGGCAACCGCGACCACAGCAAACTCATCAGAACAATGCGAGCGCTCAACGAAGCCGCTGACGACGAGTTTGAGAGTGTGCTGGCTGAGCACTTTGATCTGCAGAACCTGGCGACGTTTGTGGCGGTGGCGGTTATATGCGGTGATTGGGACCACACATCACGGAATATGTACATCCTCTCGGGCCCAGAGAGTTCGGTGTGGTACGTATATCCGTGGGACTTTGACAAATGCTTTGACCGACACCCTACACGGGTCAACACGCACCTGAGTCTGCAGAACGTAGCAGAGAACTACTTGTTCAGACGCATTATGTATACCATACCCATCAAGTTCACCGCGTTGGTCGATGCGAAGATAGATATGTTGTACAGTGGTGTTATGAGTCCACGTAGGGTCGCTGCGCTTGCAGAGGCGTACGCAGCTACCGTAGCCCCGTGGTTAGAGCCGGGGATGCCAGATACAACCCAACTCACTAAGAAACCCTGGCAGCGTGAGAAGAAGGACTTCTACAAGGCAGTGAATGGGAACGTAGCGGCTTGGAAGAAGAACATGTACTTGCCGTTGGGTGTTCGAACTACCAGTTTGAAGGAGACTGGTTTTAATACGTACAGGCTCAGAATGAGAGACTCTGTTTCCACTACAGGTGAGCGCTCGATTGGCGTGATTGCAATGGTAGTGCTTGATTTGGATTGTTGTATTGATGTTTCATACGCTATTATACCATTCTGCAATCTACACCCACACACACACACACACACACACACGGGAAACGTAAGATTTGAAGAAATAATATAATGCCAGTAATATAAGGCCTGTATCTATAGACATATACTCAAAACACGTATGATTCTGTCTGTGTATACACACACACGGGAAACGTAGGATATGAATATATGATATAATGCCAGTATTATAAGGCCTGTATTTATAGACATATACTTAAAACACCTATGATTCTGTCTGTGTATACACACACGGGACACGTAGGATTTGAAGAAATAATATAACGCCAGTAATATAAGGCCTGTATTTATAGACATATACTTAAAACTCATATGATTCTGGGCAACAGGTGAGCCGGTAGAGCACAGATGGACACTCGGACGAGGCTGTCCATGTGTCAACCAATCCTGTACGAAGTATCTGCGATTTGCTGATCCAGTGGAGGTAATTTGCACAGGCGAATGGGTGGACCTGGAGCGCACAATATCTATCCAGGAACTGGCTTTCAGTGTGTGTCAGGAGGCAGAGCGAGTGTGTGGTAGTAGCACGCGAGATGCATGTTATTTAACGGTAAACAGTAGGTACAAAGAGTCTAAGATCGAAGGGCCCTATGCCATGGACCCCATCAGAGTTCAGGTATAGGCTGGGATGGGTTCGGTGCAATAAAACTGGTAGGACAACTCCGCATATGTTGGAATACTGGTATATTCTATGAATGAAGCTTATCTATGCCAAAGACACACATGCAGATGGCAGTAAAACGCATAGTTTCTTCATAGTATCGGCCTTCAGTGTGTGCAAGAAGGCGAAGAGGGTATATGGTTGTACATAGGAGAGGAGTGTGTTACAAATCCGAGGAGTGTAAATACAAGAGCCTAACATCGAATAACTGTACGCGTTTGGGCCATCGAAAGGTCAAATAAAGGACTGTGATAGGGGCATGGATGTGTCCATACACCGAAGTAGGCACGAAACTCAGCGTGAGAGGGGTTGCTGTAAGGTGCAAGCATGCAGGCATCAAGCACTTTATACCCGGAGGAACAAGCTGGACAGTCCTTTTAAGACCACCCCAGACGAAGGTGAAAGCAGCAGAGGAGACTTCATGCCACATTTAGGCACAGGACTTTCATTATCAAATGTCCTTGCGCATGAGCTACTTCAGGGATTGAATAAAGAAATTTAAATGAAGAATTTTATATTCGTGAATCAGTTTGCAGGCATGACTATCATTCGTACATTTGTTGGTTGACGTGAGCACGAATCGCTCAAACGTTTTAAATGTTCGCAAAAGCATTACAATACGTATACACAAAACACACACAAACCGTTCACGTGTACACAGGCATATACACGCATATACACAATATACACAACATATATACATATATACATATATACATACTTACACACACACACACACATATATATATATATATATG